TCCACTTGTCTACATTTGAAGGCAAGCTTGTTTTCATTTGAAAGAGATTTTACCTCACAACCTCTCTAACCTGATCGAAATTGTCAACAGCTGATGAGATGTCACTTTTCTCTTCTCTATCTGCTAGTACTTGACCTTACACTCATTGAATGGGATTCGGAATTTCACCTAATTCGATCTATCAGATCCTAACTATGACCAGTGCACTCTTTCCTCAATGTTATCAATTCATCACGTCAGGAAGTAACAAGATAGCTACTAGCCCTTTGAATGAAACCATTAGACTAGACCAGAAGGTGGGCAGGAATTCACCAAAGGGGATGTAAATTAATTTTCAGGATCAAGGACGAAACGCCATGTATAGTAATGACAACAACGCTTTCTATTCCCATTGTTTACCAATGTCCCTTTGCTGCATACAATTCTTTTCACTTATAAATCACTGCAAGACTAAACCTCGTATGTGGCCATATCAAATGAAGACCTATGTGAACCGCTTCTCAGTTTAAAAGTGAAATTTCCAGTCAGATGGAAAGTATAGCAATAGTGTCACGATTAGGTTCCCTTCTAATCAACATGTTTGCGTCATGACTGGAAAGTAGACAACTGCGTAGCTCCAAGAATAAATTGTCCTTCCATTCCCGATATATGCCCAACGCCGAGCCATGTTGAGACTTCATGATTTGAAATAATTTGTGTACTGGATAAACGATATTCATTGTTTTGATATTTATATTGCCCAATGACTGTTAAACCGAATAAATTTTTTCCAACACATGCTTCACTACCTAATGTAAATTGCTTTAGCAAATCGAAGTTTAGGGGATACGCTGGACAGCGGAAAGCAACCTAAAAGACTTGGATTTTGCCGATGACCTGTGTCTGATGTGGCACAAACTTGAATATCAACAGGCGAAAACTAACGAGTTGGCAGAAGAGGCAGCGAAGACGGGAGTTCAAGTGAATATACAGAAGACGGAGGTGATAATGATACCCAACTAACAAGAACAACAACAACAAGCTCCAATCACCATGAACGATAGAAACTTAAAGGAAGCAGCCTCCTTCACCTATCTAGGCAGGGCAGCATCTTCTCAACTACAGGCGGCACTCACGAGGACATCAAAGCCAGCCAGGATCGGAAAAGCAAGAGAGGCATTCATTAGCCTGAAATCAGTGTGGAGATCTCCTGCACTCAGCATGTGAAACAACATCCGGATTTTCAACACCAATTCAGTCAAGTCACTTCTTCTGTATGGTTCAGATACTTGGCGCGTTACGAAAGGGATTTCCAACAAACTTCAGACATTCATCAACAACTGCCTACGCTGGCTCGTTACTGGAGATCAGATGGCCAGAATAATCAGAATAAGCAACAAGAAACTCTGGGAACGAACCAACCAAGAAGCTATCGCTCAACAAATATGCACTGGAAGGAAGTGGTTATGGATTGGGCATACACTGACAACGCCGATTGGGGACATCACGCGTCAGGCCCTGGAGTGCAACCCCGATGGGAAGCGACGAGTTGGGCGTCCGAAACGAGGGTGACATGGAGGAGATCGTGTGAGGAGGAAATGAGAACTTGTGGGCTGTCGTGGAGCCAGGTCCAAAAGATTTCACAGTTCACTGGAGACGTGCTACTGAAGCACTATGTTCCACTGGGAACCCAAGGGACAAATAAATAAATCGAAGTTTACAACATGCAGGCTTGTCTATGATAACTTGATATACCTTCTTCTGGATGTATAACTTGGCTTTGGTGAATTCTTGAACAATGATAATGCATATGTGAATTACAGAATGAGATTTACATGTGCAGACAGGCCAGTAGTTCTTATCGCAAGTGTATTGGTTATCCCAGTGTGCGTGGGTGTGTGCGGAGAATGAGTTGACAGCATATAGAAGCTGCAGCTGTTTCAATTAAAGCAATATCTCTGACCTGTGTCGGAGAGATAAAGCTTCATCAGCAGACTTTTCTCTTATCCCTAGACCTCGACATCTGACTTCTCCATTACTGCTGATGTGGTGACATCTCAAAACAAGTTCTACGGTGAGCAAACATCTGAAGCTTTCTCATGTTCTCTAACTTCAATAGCTATGCTTCACAACCATATGGTTGAAAAGAGTGAGTTGAAACGCAGTGTACTCAAGCATTAACAGGCAACAAAGTTATAAATGGCATCAATTGATGAACGTCTATCGAGTCTTTTGTTTTCACGCAGAGATCTTGTCGGATACTGGCCCTTCAGAGTAAATACAGTTTCCTAGGTCAGTAGTGAATTAGTCAACACAGTCACTCCACTCCCTACTATTAAACAAGACACAAACGCAGACCAGTTTTGAAACAACAGTTCACATTTAGTGGATGGTGAGAAATGCATCAAAATACTCTCCAACTGCTACGTAAGGTGTTCAAATGACTCTGCGTCTTGTCAAGGTCTTCAGTCAACAGGAGTATGTTACCTGCATACTCTAAATCTACCAGAGATTCTCCTGTGATAAGACCAATCACTGTGAAATCTGACGACGAGATAGAGACTCCAGTGATACGTCTGTGATGAAGATGAATAATTATGGAGACAGTTGATATCCTTGACGGACACAACTCGTTGTACACTGCTCACTTGACAAATCACCATAGGCCGTAACACGTCCACAGGTGTTCAAGTACAAAGTTTACAATAGAGTAATTTGTTTACGAATCACCCCCTCTCAGTGATTAACTATCACAAAGATGAATACATACTCACCGTTTGTGTTTTTATTGAATTCAAAACAGTTGTACATCTTGTGAGGGAGAGAGAGAGAGAGAGTAGCTAAATACATCCTTCAGAGCTGAAGCAGTTTCATTTGTGGCTAAATCTCGTCTGCTTCTGGAAAATAAGGTTAGAACTCTTCAGTTCCCGACTGGCGTAATAGAAGTATTACCCAAACACCAACACCATGGTTTATGTGATAGTAGTTTTGCATAATTTAGATTGACTTCACAAGCACTGCTAAACAAACTACAGTTCCGGTTTAATTGCATGTTGAGTGAGAGCATTTACCTCATTCATCCTAATGAAGTGAAAAATAATACGAATAAGTTCCTGAATTTGGTCGGACAGGAATATTAAATCCATAGTACAAATGTATATGAAACGCTATAAATGAGAAGAGGAAAGGACAAGTAAGAAAAGTGAAATGTGGAAACAATATATTCTCCTGATTCCCTCCTTCCCCTCTCTAGATGATCACGGTTTGTAGTGTGCGAATACCGTTTGTCTACTGTATGTCATTCTGTACTCAATACACTTTTCGGTGTGCACCACACGAAAATGTCTCTATACGCACACGAGTATATACACTCACATACGTGCGCATACACACACACACACACATGCACACAAATGGACATCCGACAGAAGTAAGAATATGACATCTAGGTATAGCTGAATCATTAGGAGTCTGGAACTTCAAACAGTCATTGTGAATTCATCCAAAGGATTATCCGTGTCACCCCATCCTAGCTGTTCTGGATAACTGTCTGACTTGACGGTTTTCCTGTTGTTATTGGTCTTCACGTCGCTTTAGGTTTCCTATCCAATTCGAACTTTAACGGATTGACAGGAATGTCAAGTGCATACCCCAATATTACTACTGTACTGAATGGCTACATGGGAGTTGATCTTAATGGCACAGCTTACATCAGCCAACCTAGAGAGAAGACTAAATTGAATCGTTAATCCACACAGTGCATAGTTATATCGTATTCAGCAAAATACATGCAAAGTGTACAAGGTCTTCAAAGTGTAGGCGGCCTGATCAGAATGTCAACATATAGGGACCACAAGTAGGTGCGATAAAAGTATTCCTAATTGATTGGTCGCCATTGTCTTTCTTCTGATCGCGGATACAACAGCCACCCCCACTTCATGTGGGTTATGTATTTAGTGCGTAGGAAGATGCGTGACAAGGGATTAGTTTGTTCGACCTTGTCGATTTCTCATATATCTGTTGTGCCCAAATTTAACTGTGACGGTCAGACTGGTGCCAAAAAAACGAATCTCCACTTGAAGCTGCCTCCCCCACTCCCTCCTCCTTTGTGTTCTTAGTTCATTCAAACCAGTTGTACGTCTTATGAGGACGAGAAGGCGACTCACTGAATATATCACTTACACGTAAAACCGTTTCATTCAAATTCAAATCTAAATGCCCCTCATGTTTTTAGAGACCTAAGTTACAACAAACTTCATATTCTTCAGTTACCAAACAGTGTTGTAGAAGTCTTACTCTAACCGCATCATCAAACTTTTTCAAATCAAATTCAGAGCATTTCCTCGAACTAATGGAATCAGTTTGCAAACGTGATTTCTTCATCCGGTTTTTCATAGTGACATTCAGCAACTGAATTTCCGATGTCAGCAGAATGAGGAGCATTGAATGAATACATGTGAGTTGCAGTGTGGACTGAAACTTTTAATGTTGCAGATTGACGACTTCTTTCACTTGTTCAGACGACAGGCACATTTTCTCGGCGTGTGGAAATTCATCACCACTGCTAAATCCCTAATCTAGCAGGTTAGCTGTTGCTACTCATCTTTACCTAGTCTGAGGTTTCCTACTTAGTGATATGATCGACAGGTTGAGGGAAATATCCATTTACGCAAGTCGATGTGTGGCTGGATCCTACAGACACTAACGTCCCTTCACACTTGACTCATAGTGAAGAAAAGATAGATTGTTAGCTCACATGATGCATACTTAAATTGTATTTAATAAATAATAAATAAATATCTGTATTCCCAAGTTATGAAGTCAGCATGAAAGAGAAAAGCATCACAGTAACAGCTCCAGGCAATTTTAATTAAGTTAGACAGGTTGACAAACGAAATCCATTAAAAGTCGTCTGGCTTCACGAAGCATTTGTTACTTTTAATGCAGAAGAGTGGAGCTGTCATGCACTGGTCTACGCAATCGATTTCCAACGAGTGAGTAAGGGGTTCAAAGAATAAACCTTACCTACCAAGGGGGAAAACAAATTGAAAATGAAAATACTAAGATACTAGACATCAAATTGTGAATGTATGTATTTGTGTCATTGTGACCAACTTTCAGTCATGTCATCAAGGCTCTGTAAATATTCACTCCTTATATTTCGAATACCCTGACCAAGCGGGCAGCAAATCCCCACACCAAAGAGACGAATATTCGAGGACTTCATGAAGTAGTTGCGATCTGTGTATGATCGTCGCTTCCTTAAATCTCAGGATGCGTCCCTGGCTGATTATATTATAAAACTTTGAAAGCTGTTTGAACTGAGAAGGAGTCAAAGAACCATTCCTAACCATTCCTCGATTTTTCATTCAATAAGACAAATGCCGGAAAGCTGGCAACCCAAGTGTACAGTACAGGAAGCCAACACACACTGATCAAATCATCAACTACAGTAGCGAAAACCCAAAAATGCACAAAATCAATTGCGTGCAGACTCTATTCATCAAAAGAGCGAGAACACACTGCAGTACAACAACTTCACGGAGGAACGAAGAAAATTACATGACGTCTATCCCAAAAAAGAACAGCTACCCACGAAACTTTATCAGATGGTGCCTATCCCATACATCTACAACTACAACTACAACTACAAAGTCATCGACAGAACTCGACAAACTCATCGTCCTACCCTACATAAAGAATATATCAGAAATCATGACAAGATTACTGAAACCGTTTGGAATTGGTGTGGTCATTCATAAACCAACAAGTCCCTCCCAAATACTATTATGCAGACCAAAGGATGCAACAACCGAAGAAGACAAACCGAACATCACTTACAAAATCAACTGCAATCACTGTAGTCAACACTACACATTGGAGAAAGTGATCGCCCTCCTCGTCCTCGTCTACATCAGCACCGATTGGCTACTAAACCTCACGACATTTCATCACTCATCGCTCAATCCACGTGGATAATTATGGACATGAATTCATTTTCGAAGATGTAGAAAGTTTGGACGAAGGAAACACAAAGAATATTAGAGAATTCTTAGAAGCTTGGCATTCAGGTCAGTCAGTTAGTCAGCAATCAACAGACGTAAAGACAAAGACCCAATTTATGAAGTAATAAAAAATAGAAAAGGACGTGATGAACGATGGGAAGATTAAAGGTCAAGCAGAGAAAAAACCAACAGGAAAATCTATGCAGTCAGTCAATGATACAACAAGCAAAGGAAACAACCAATCACAGACCACTTCGTCAGAGCAACTTACTCAATCACTTACGGAGAGATATTGACAACTGACTTCACACTGAAGTTAGTGCTGGTGGTGTCGTCTAGAAAGATGATGAAAGCTTCACGATTAGACAACCCAACTCAGAGGACACAATACAACCAAGACCATCCACCTGAGCTACAAATATTCTCTACCATTTCAAAATGATGATGAATACCAACTTGAAAACAATAATTCCCCCCCTCCCACTCCCCCAAACTTAATTAATCTAATGCTCATTGGTGACTAGCTTTGAGAGGTCATTCCCGAAGTTCCAATGAGGCGTCATAACCAGTGGGGCAAAGCAAATTGAACATCAGGACAGTTACTCATGGATAGCATTGGATGGAAATCAGGTTATATCACGGGCTGACAGAAGTAGGAAATTGAACTATTGGACTCCAACTCAGTGGCTCAATCGTAACGTGCAGGCTGGGAAGCCTGAATGTCTTGGGTTCGATCATTGGAGAGGCAGATTCATAGGTGAGCACTGCTGAGGAGTCCCATACTAGGAGGAAACAGCTGTTCAGTGCTCCCAGGTTTCCAATATTCCTCCAACTAACTTCAGTTCATGATAAATACCAACTTGAAATTTAAATGATATTCATTATTTTGATATGTATTTTGCCCAATGACTATAAAACTGAACAAATTTGTTTCAACACACACTTCACTACCTAATGTAAATTGCTTTAGCAAATCGAACTTTACAATATACACGTTTATGTACAATAACTTGATATGCCTTCTTCGGGATGTATAATTTAGCTTCTCTGAATTCTTGAACAAGGATGATGCATATGTGAATTACAGGATGAGATTTATATGTGCAGACAGGCCTATTATCGTGAGTTGTTGAGGTCTGCTAGAATGAAAACAACTAAAGACAAGTACATTCCGATGGTACCCGAGAAGCTTGTATATCTAGCAATAACTCATAGAGTAGAAGAATAAAATCCTTCACAGAGGCATCTACTACTCTTATGATTCAATATTTACCCAAATGGTCAAGGCAGGCTGAAATCAAAATCAGGCAACACTGCATTACTAAACATCTCAATCGACTAGGGACACGATATTAACGTCAACTGAGGAGGTCTCCACAGTTGCTAGCAGATAAGTGGAGAAGAAGAGGATGTAGATCGTGAGAGTTTATGTAGTGATTCGATACACCGAGTCTGCGAGTCAGCGGAAAGAGACGAGAGTTGTCTTGAAGCTGTCATGTAACGACCTCGCCATACTATGCATACCTACGTTGGCATTCCACAAGATCATATAATTTTTAATCATTTCAAACTTTCCGATTTTCTCGGCCAACCTTATCACTCATTGAAACCTATCTAGCTGACCGAATGACATAATTTATTCCTCGTTATCTTTAGCCTCAGTGTCTATTCTTTACACCCACATACACACACACACACACACACACACACAGAAACCTGTCGCTCAATGCTACTCGGTATTCAATTTGTTTTTCGAGTTAAAATATCCACTCTTTATTGACATATCTCAGTCTTCAATATGCCTGCATACATAATTTCATTGGAAAACAGTATGCGAAATCATGAATATGGAGTAAACAACTGACGACTGCCACGGAAATCTAATGAACCACATAAATCCTCCTTTAATAACGATTGTAGTTTCTTATAAATTTGTTTTGGGAAATGAACGTTTACATTTCATTACTTAACTGTTATATGACAATAATTTACTGTCTTCTATCCCTACACATATCAACAACGCACTCAAATACACAGAGACAACGACTGACTACTTATATTCTGCAAATATTTGCGAGATTCACGACTGTTATTATCACCTCTAATGTTGCTCTCTAATTCATGTAGTGGAACTTGAATTCCACTAATTCAAACTGACGGGAAAATAGTAATGATGGACAGTGGCTAGCAGTGGAATCCAGGGTGTGCATTTCGTCCAGTTTGGGGCTTGTCAGCTGAATGTACCTGCTTCCCGATGAGTGGTGTTGTTCCCACTGGGATTCGGATCCTGGATTCCACTGCTAGGCACTATCCATCGTTACTATCATAAGAGCACAGGTAATATCGAGGCATCCACACAGGATCCCATATGCCAATGGAGACTGATCAATCCCGTCCAATTAACGACGGTATGATATAAAAACAATTATATATACAACGGGAAATTATTTGGGAATGATTCATTTCAAGGTAGTATTCGCCATGAATTGTTATCAATTGGAGGACTACTAAAGCCTTGGAAAGCCTTTCCCTTCTACGCTGCAGATCTTCAGAAATAGAAATACATATCTCAGTGTAGCACCAACCCATAGGACTGTCACGTCTTGCTATGAGTGAGCTGCTATTCAGTCAATCGGTTGCAGATTCTGTGACCAACCTTTCCTACTCCCTAACACATTTCACACATTGTGATAATATCGAATGACTACACTGAATAACTTGTAAATCTTATCACAAAACATGGACGGGGATTTAACGAAAATACCCATCTATACTATTGATCAATACTTACCGAAAATCAGCTAAATTCAAAACATTTTTCATGTCCTTCTGAATTGAGTAGTCCACATCATACACTTTCCACAAATGCAAAACTTCCTCTTCAAGTGATTCTGATTTCGTTTGCAAGCCATTTAGAATGAATTTTGTTTTTGAATTATCAGCTGTTTGATAGTAACGACGAACACTGCGGTCCCATTCCTCATCATAGTCCCCATAGTCCAACTCTCTGGTCATTCCAAAACGCTTTAAATGCAATGAAGAGAACAGTTCACTATCTGGTTCAGCATATTTCAAGAAACAGATAAGTCGACCGAGCAACCTACTCCCGAAATCAGAACTTTCATCAGTCACATTTGTCAGATATTCCCCGTCAATGTGATGATACAAAGCGTCTTTGTAAGCATTCCGTATGTCTTTTTTCAATTTAGTCAATGAGCCAATATTATTGAAAAGTAGGACGAGGGGAGACTTAACAAGCTTCTCTGCAATCAACTCTGCAATACGTGTTTTCTCACGAAGAACTGGATTTAAGAAAAAATAAGGTGAAATGTTCTCTGTCAAATGCAGACCGTTCTCACAAAAGCATCTTACTGATCTAACTGGATGTTTCAACTGATATCTCTTCATCGCAATCTGCAAGACCTTTAACTTGGAAACCCAACTACTAGTTGTGTTTATCACCAAGACTTGATCGTTCTCAGATGAAATTCCACACTGACACAAAGCTTTATTAACGCGTGTATGAAGGTAATAATATGGTATGCTACTAGAATACTGAGAGTCATGTATCCTTAGTTTTTCAATAGCATGACTACCCGTAAGAATATAATGTACCACAGGTAATATCATCCCCAAGATACAATCACCAAACATTTCAGGATCGATGATTGCTCCCATATCTTCCAGTGAACCAAACTCATCTTCTATCCAATTTCCATAGATCCAGTTACCGTCATAACGGATTTCATCACGGTTATCAGGGCTGTAGATATTTTCGACTTCAGATTGCCTGACGGAATGATCATTGTGTGTCGAACAGTCATCTTGTGGGATCTCTCCAATCAGACCGAATAGGATAGCTGCGAATGCTGAGTTCGCAAACCACTTTCGCATTGATTCGTTGTGTGCAGCCCCAATTGCATAGTAAGCATGAACTGCAGCGCCTGCAGCCAGTGTACTCCACGCCTCATAACCAACAGGTGGCAGTTCATCACGACGAACTGGGAGATATGACTTATCAATAACCAGGGTGGAATTTTCAGGAACTGGGAATGCATCACTCTTGTTACACTTATTATCCTTGAGATATTTAGTCAACTGCTGGCGGATCACATTACCGAATTTGTTGATTCCAGTTGGCACGTTACCGAACTCCATTAATCTGAAATAGGAAATACAAATAATCACAAGTGTTACCTATCGTGAAGATGTTCATCCACCTTGTACTTAAAATAGCAGGGAGACAGGAATTAGTTTCACTGCACCATCGGAGCAATTCTCAATTTTATCGTCTATCATTTAATTTAGAAGTTGATGTGGATTCATTGATTTCACGTTGGTATTCATGATGGACTAACATCAGTTGAAGAAACATTGGGTAGTTGTTTCTTCTTAGTATGGGAGTATTTGGCAGCGCACACTCATGACCTCCCAAAGGGTCGAACCCGAGAGCTCTTGTGACTCAACAGTGCATATATGTCTTGTGAGTAATGCAAGGTGTTGAGCACAGTTTACGAAATTATGCTGTTTGGTCATTGTTTGCCATCTGTTATTTCATTGGGTGGTTAGTTGAAGTCTCTTCATATCTTCTACTTTCAATGACCGTGTCTCACAGTGAGATAACAGAACGGAACACAGTGCAGCACAGCATACCTGTTCTTATCAGGCAGTTGGACATCTCGCATAAGGACAAGGTCCTGATACAACGACAGCCATCTTGTTCGTCATGTGTAGTCGACCACCAGTCATAGATGTATTAATATTTCCTCAATAATCCCATGCAGAAAGACCATCTCCATTAAAAGTCAAGTTATATAGTTTTTGCCTTAGCCTCAGAACTGTCATCGGGTAGCGGACTACCAATCACCCAACAACAACGTTGCCACTGTGAGTAGTCGACGACGTCACATATTACTACACAGTCAGAGTATTGTCGCTATGAGTGATGTTAACTATGCGGAAACAGAGCGGCATAACTGTTACCTAGGTTTCATACAGTATCGACTATCTAGTCTACAGATCCAGCCAGCTTCAACAGGCTTGTCACACCATATAATTGATCAGGTTGATCTCGAAGGACCAACCACATGGTTGCACACACAATCCAAATTTCATCCTACAACTCGACCATAATAACTTCTGTGTTGAATCTATCAATAAGGACTGACAGGGAGGTGGATATAAAAAAGTCTATTACATTCAGAATTTATGGATAAAACTGAAGAGAATTCTATTCGTTGAACAACCACATTTATCTCATCTAAGAGACGTCTCGCTACCGTAGATGAGATTTAACTGAATCGGGTTTCAAACTGGTAATGAACGACGAGTCCACTTTCAGTGTACTGGAGAGAGAGAATTATTAAAAACGGTTGGACAAAGTAGTATGGGCTTAAAAAACAACTATAAGATACTAGTGCTATTAACAGCTGAATGTTATCACTCCCCAGAGAATTGGCTGGAAGCATAGTACAGATTCAGTGGCTTTGAATCAATCAAAACCTAGTGAAGTTGTACGATCAGATATTCTGCACACGAGATCAAGTTTATACTAGTCTGGTTTTTTTGCCGATTTATAGAACAAACGAGGATTTATGCCATATCACTGACGCAAACCTGTAAAACTTCAAATCATTTTTGGCTGAACATTGAAAACCTATCAATCGATAAATAACCATCTCTGTCCACGACCAAACATGTCAAACAGAATCCCACAGAGTTCTCTTACCCTGCTGACTCTACGTGAAGTCAAAACAGATGATTAGTCGTGTTGACTACTATTACAAATACACACGACTCTTATTGATGCCTTCGGTTGACCATAGATTGAATAACATCTATCATGCATTATGTTGACTGGTAAAATATGGCAAGCTGTGGAGGGAGATTTTGGTCATCTTTTGACAAATAAATACTGGAACCACCAAGGAAACAATTGACGAATTAACCTCAATAAACTCAGTCGCGTCGTGTAAAGTCAGGACACTGTCTGATAGTTTGCTGTTTTTCATTAAATAATAATCACTAATAAGTTTCTACACTTACACTCCAGTAGACATAGCACCAAAGAACGTAGAAAATACAAGTAACGAAGAATGAAAATGACCGAGTAACCTTAAAAGCCATCCTACCAACTGCTGAAATCACTAATCAAATTTCAGTATTTCGGCCGGGAAGGCAGTTGTTCATAAAATAGAGAACCGTAGTCGGCTTATTAAAGTATCAGTTAAGGGGGTCATTAAAATCAACCAAAACGACAAGTTCAGTGTATCTTATGTACACTCAAAACGACAACCAATGAAATAATAGCAAATAGAAAGCAGCAACCAATCAGCGCAGAGTGAGTGGTGATAGACGGACAGCGTAATGAGAAGACGGTGTTTATCTGAAACATGTGATGTATCAGCATGACGCATTGCAAACAGACTGATCACATATGAACTAACCGAACAATTAACATAAAAAGATGAGAAAGGTTAATTGGGTCAATGGAGTTATAAGTGAGAAAGATAATGAGGATAGAACGAAAACAATGATTAGAAAATTTCAGATCATCACCACCAATAGTATGTACATGGTTGAACGCAGTGCTGTCGGGGTAGGTTTAGTGTCAGTAAAAATTGCATTCGAATATGTAAAGGGGGTTTCAACTTATGGATAGCGAGTTCCTCAATAAATCTAAGTTATCGTCTTTGACCAGATCTATGAAATACAGTAAAGACTGTCTTCATATCAAACTCACGATCAGTTTCTAACATGTTTTGGGATCGATGAGGAAGGACATTTGCTACCTGCACTTATCAAACTATTTTTGTGCTGATAAATGCACAACGATAACAGTCCCAAATGAGTTACAGTGGAAATACGGATAACGCCGGTAGATATCACCTCTGTTCGGTCAGAATGGCAATGGCCTTATCCTAACCGACGGGCGCCAACAAAACACACAACAACAAGTAAACCAAAAGATAAAAGTCACGAGGTTTAAAAATATGTAATTAGTTATTCACCATCCAATGTTTATAAACAAAGTTGGTTTCAATATTAATGTGGTATTAGTACACAGAATGCCTAAAAAAAATTTGAATGAAGTTACGTGAGACAGACATGATTTTCCCAACAGAACACTGAAATATAAAATAAGACATTTGTGTTAGAAAAGAATAAAATATGAGTACTAGTGATAGAAATAACAATAGGTGCGTATTCACTTGTAATATACAAAAATATGATAGTAACTGCTAGGTTTGATTGCTGAATTATGAAACTTATCGATTGTAATCATGAAAAGTAAAGAGAATTACCTAGAATCCATGGACCTAAGAAGATGAAAAAAGTGTGTATAGGTTTGTACTCATCATGGGCTGACATCGGTTAGAGAACAATCGGAAACCTGGGAGCACTGGACAGCTGTATGGGACTCCTCAGCAGTGCTCACCCACGAACCTGCCTCTCCAGAGATCGAACCCAGTCGGCACGTTACGATTAAGCCACTGAGTTGGAATCCAGTAGTCCAATTTCCTACTTCTGTCAACCTATGATATAACGCAACCTCTATCCAATGCTATCGTTGGGCAACTATCCTGTTGTTCCCGTCGGTTGCCCCCACTGGTCACGACTTCTCATTGGAACTTCGGGAATGACCTCTCGAAGCTAGTCACCAATGAGCACTAGACTAACTCCCGAAGTTCCAATGAGAAGTCGTGGCCAGTGGGGCAAACCAACGCGAACATCAGGACACTTACTCAACGATGAAACTGGACGGAGATAGCGCTCACTACATCGCGAACCGACAGAACTATTGGATACCGACATAGTGGCTCAATGGTGAAAGGGGATCCTGAAAGTCTTGAGTTCGATCTCTGGAGAGGCAGGTTCATGGGTGCGTACTGCTGAGTCCCATACTAGGAGGACACAGCTTTCCAGTGCTCCCATGTTTCCAATTGTTCTCCAACTGATGTCAATCCATGATGAATACCAACCTGAAATCAATAAATCCCTACAAACCTCAAAACTGAATTTGTGAAGGGTTGGAAATGAATTAATATGAGTAGATATTAACAGTGTCTATTAGTGTTAAATAAATTTGATGTCAATATGAGACGGGAAATACGGTCTCAATGAAGGAATATTCAAGTCGTGATTATTTGCACGTAACGCTCCGGCTAGTGAACTCTTCTACCGGACCTGGTTACTCTTTCAGACTTTTCTGCCCAAGATACACCTGGTGCAGTTTACGCTGGTGTGACAGCATTGCTAGTTGTTTTTACAGGCTCATCGATGATAGTAGGCCTTGCTTGATTGATGCTTACCGCATTTACTTTGCTGAATCTGTCTATTGTGACTTCATCACTTCTACTTAAGACTTTACGGACCATCAGCTAGTAGAGGTTGTTGGACGTCATCTCTTCTGACAAAAGTATGAGTACAATCGACTAGTTGAGATGGGACATGAGATGGCCGCTGTTGTGATAGTGTGTGACATTTTCAACGAACGAATGGACGGAGTTTTCCAGTGGAAGTGTTAAAATGAATTCCGGAGGAAACTGTGGAAGTCATTCTTGAAGACATAAACTTCAGTTCCGAATCATCCTTTTTTAGCTTGGACAGGAGTTGGTAATAGTTAGGGATGCTTATATCCATTACGTTGCATACTTACCATTTGTGCATTTTGAGGTTCTTCTTCGTGGTCTTTTCCCGCATGCGTCACATTTCATGACACGTTAGCATTCTGATTGGCTCTTTCATCTTTAAATATACTAACCATTCCTTGTCTTTGGAGGTTACTGTAAACTCTACAAACAGGGTCAGTTTCCACTAATAAACGTTTTCAGTCCCAGACACTATAAACTCAGTTGATTACCAGGCCTCTAATTTCCCTCTGAGAATCACTCAAGTTGAACCGTCTCAACCCTCGACTGGCAATCTTTAATTATTGTCGTTCATCATCTCCAACCGGTAGCTTCTACCTTGACGTGGTGGTCAGGATTGCATATCACAATGACCCATCGAGCTATGCTGGTGGAACGCTTGTTCCCTCAAGATCCTCCCATACAAAAAAGGTTTACTGGATAGTGGTCAATTATAGTGCAAAACGCTACGCTATGGTGGAGGTCTGAGGGTGAAGTTGTACTGTTGACTGGACGGGATGCGAGAACAGTAGGGTGTTTCCCTTGGATGACCGGCAATGCCACGCTGATGCTGCCTTCCCTATGGGAAGGGGTGGTTAGAAAAGGTCAGCCCCAAAAATAGCACACCCCCGGCCCTCACGCTACGTCAATGCCTGCAACAGGGATTTATAGTCAAATTCAAAGCAAAAACCAAAATCTTAAAATTGCCAAAATGCTGCACGTGACCGGTCTCAAGCAGACATCCCTTGGGCTTTGCGCTTACACACCCCCAGCATTTTCAGGTACCTCGAGAAGAACTAGCCTTCCACACTGTGGTCAGCCGGGAAGTTCCAGCTGCTGGTACGCTTCCAACAGTAACCAAGACACAATCAAACAGAGCCTATCCTCTTCAACTGTCTCCTCTTTCGCCTTAACCTCCTGATACTAGTATTAGGCCTTCCCCAAACTCTCAATCTGCAATTATTGCCAATGATAAAAGCCATCAGAACCTCATCTCTTGTCTCCTAACACCCCGCCATCGACTCCATGTAGAAGCTTTTAACGGCAGAACTCAATGCCAAATAGGAGAGCAAGCATTGCTCGCAAAGAACTAGGATCTCCAGCCATCGACGTATGCTGTCTGTGATACGTACACAGAACCCGAGTGTGGTTATAAAACTGACAGCTGACAGTATTGAATCTTAAAAATTCGCCTTACAACTATCTAGAGGCCCAATGGCTAGCTCTCGCAAATTTGCTGGTGTAGGCGTAGCACTTAGCTGTAGGGCAGAAAGTGCGCTCCTCCACTGGATACCAGCCAACAGCCGTCTATGTACTGTTCGATAGAATAAATTCGAAGGAACAAGAAAGAATCGTGAGACTAGACGATGCCTATTCGTGAGTTTTACCCACACACCCACCAGCTGTAGTTCGGATGGTCGAGAGGATGAGTCATCGAAAGCTGTCCATTTTGCCACAGAAAGCAAAACGTTCAGTTTTAGTCATAATGGCAGGTGATATTAGCGCTCAAATAGGGAAACTGAGACGATCGGAAAGGCATCTCGGTAATATCTACAGAATCCCTTGTCAACGATGGCCATCGCCTGTAGCAATTTCTTCCCGACAATTACCTGTTTCTAGCCAGCCCTAACCATAGGCATGAGGAAAGAGACTGTCTCACATGCCATCCACTGACTTCAAATCAACGATGGATCGCTACAAGTCATCGTCGGAGAATTGCCGCTCTTTCTGAAGCGCCAGTCTGAACACCAATCAGACGCTTGCATGGGACCGCGTGTCTGTGCTTTACTGATCGCCGGAAACAGATGGTAGTAAGGCCTAGCTATGCTCAACTGGAAGACAAGGACGCCAAGTATGTATTTAGGTGGGAGTTAGCTAGGCATTTGTCTGAACGCGACTGTTGTAGAAACAGCGATAGAGACAGCACGTAACCTACTTCCGAAGATTATTAAACGTCATTGCATTTCAGCGACGCCATCCAAACTCACTTATGCGAGAAGACTGATTCCAGCAGGAAAGGATGAAGAGCGAAAGCAACTTAGACGTGAGATGACCGAGAGTCTTCGTCCAGATAGCGAGAAGTGGTGGGTGACGAAAGCGAGAGAGATGGAGAAGGCATCAGCATCGGATTACACTCGGAGATATTTTAGACTCATTAGGATACCGACAAGGCGATAGTCAGTGAATCAGTCACCGAAAAGGACGGAGTGCTGATAATGCCTCAAGGACAGACGGCTAGAATGTTGGGGAGAACACTCTGGAGCCTAGTTCAACTGGACAACAGCAACGCTTCACTTGCTCAACATCTGGCCTCAACCTGAATGGAACGTAGACGTCAGTTCTCTAACTCTCCTCTAAGTTGAGAAAGCAGTATCGAACCTGAAATGATGCGAAATAGCAGGACCTGCCAGTTTGCCACCTGACGTTTTCAAGGAAGGAGGTAGGAAATTGCTGATTAAAGTACTAAGTGGTTTATGGGAATCAGAGACAGTGAAGTTACACTTATCTACCTCACTGGTCATCCTGGTCAATATTAAGTGAGAGAAATCTTGCGAGTTATAGGGTGTGGTAGTGTCTAACTTCGAAGGGAGTATCGAGAAAATATATAACGCTAATCAAAGCTCCGTACTTGAATTCACGATTGTGTAAGGAGTTTATGGAGAGTTTTCATCTGAACTGATGACAATCGTTGGTTTCCACCAAAAATGCCCACTGTCACCGCTCCTACTTGATTTCGTTACAGACTAACTGATGGACGTCCATCAGTTTCTAAGGTTGTGTACATAACCTTGGAAACACACAGCTTCACAGGGACTGGCCGCTTAGCGTCCGTTATCTCACCAATGTACCTAGTCCTGTTCCTCAGTACGTAGAAAAAACAGAGCGTTTGAATATAACCTTAGGGACGTCTGACAGGAATTGACCAACTACCTGAAGGTCATCTGGTTGACTTGGCGTATGCAGACGATACTGTCCTGCTGAGTGAAGACATTGACGAAATGCAGTGTCTTTAACAGAAATCTCAGCATTTTTGGCAAGCGCGCATACCAAGCCCTTAGCACCTGTCAAATATAAGATGCTCCACGACTGGTCTGCTAAAATTACTTCTAGTTTAATGATACACAGTGAAGTGGTGCAATATGTCGACTGTTACGGATCCATAGTCCCTGAGAAAAACTAAGTATAATATGTATATATTATCATCGTAAAACCTTACCTCCGCGCTTTTCCCGCTCAGTGTGGCCATAAGTTATCCCCAAGACGGATTTCCAATATCCAATATCAATGGTGAGAGCGTAGAAAACTGATAGTTTTATCTCCAGGGTCCAGTTCTTAGGGCTTAGTTCGAGTTGTTCGGTTCACTCCTGCAGTGGACGACGAAATCCCCCCCCCTGCTTTTTTGCTTTTAGCTTCGGCGAGGTGGATGTTTTGTTGGTTCCAATATCGAATATCTTTTTACGAGCTAGTATAAACCAATTCATTCCTTTGTACTCGCTTCTAGGTCTTGCGGAACGGTCCCAGGCCTTTGGTGGATTCCGATGCAGTAGGTCTACCCACTCGACTGCTGTAGCTCTGGTTAGCCCGACGGGCGGTTGGGTGTTGGTTAAAATTATAGGGTGTTGTTGTTTGTTTGTTTTCTTCCAAGGACTGCGATGCAAATGGGTATCTTAAGTGTCGTACCAGCAGACAATTGGTCAGGCTGGTTGTAAAAAGGAGACAGAAAATATGTCCAGGGAGAGAAAGTGCGAAGAAAAACAGAGAGAAAAAGAGAGAAAAAGACGATTGGGGAAAAGTAAACGTAAAGTCAGTAAGAAGAAAAGTAGATGACACTATGGGACGGATTGGTATAAAGGCAGTAACTCTATTAGTGGGGGACGGCAACTTGAGGGGATGTCTACGGGGATGTGTAAGGTAGAGCCAGGTTCCCACTGATCATGGTGCTACAAAGCATTCGATAATGGGTTGGCTGTGGTGAGTTAATAGGTCATGTCAGCCTAGTCCACATCCCAGTTGGATGGGCGCAAACCGTGCGTCGCTGTGTAACTGTCCAACCTTTCCTTGAAGCTGTCAACATACGGGGCAGTAGTAATCTCGGCAGGCAATGCATTCCACTGGCTGCAAACTAGTAGGGAGAAGAGGTGTGACCGCACACGGTTTTTGCTCTTCGATGGGCGATTGTCCTTGGGTTACCGAGAGGATCGCCATAGTGGCCGTTCGGTAGGATTCCACTATTCGGATGACTTGGGTCACCGAAAATTTTGTAAGCAGTTATCAAGTCACCACGTAATCTACGGTGGCTTTGAGAGTAGCGTCCTAGATCTTTTAGCCTGTCCTGATATGGTTTTCGCCTCAATCCCGCGACACCCTTTGTAGCTCGCCTTTGAACTTTCTCCAGGAGTTTCGTGTCTCCTTTCAGATATGGTGGTGCAGTGACGTTGCGGACCTCTAAGTGAGGTCGTATGCAGGCCTTGGATAGCTTCAAAAAGAGTTCCTGGAGCAGGACACCTAGTTTGTCTGCACGTGAAGTGCAGTACTGCGTAGGCTCTGGAGGCATCTCCTGGACAATCAGAGCTAGTATCTAGTTTGTCGATCAGTATTAGTCCTAGGTCTTTCTGCGTGGTGGTTGTGTTCCATAGAGAGAGTAGGGTACCTTCTGAGAGTCAAGGGTGCGAGGAAACATGGCTCCGCACTTATCCAGAATAAATACCAGTCCGCTCTGCGGGTAGTCTGAGATCACTTAGCAGTGCACTTGATTCTGTTTCCGACGTCATAGCTCTCCATGACTTAACATCATCAGCGTAAAGGAGAATTGAGGAGCTGAGATTCAGTGGGAGGTCGTTCATAAAAAGAAGGGAAAGTACTGGACCCAAAGTCGCTCCTTGTGATACACCAGATGACTTCCTCCAAGTCGAGCAAACTCTGTTGGCTTTTGTGAAAGATCGTCTGCCGTCCAAATAGTCCTGCAACCATGAAAGCACTTGTCCCCTGATGCCCAACCTTGGTATTTTGTGAATAAGAATGGTATGTGGGACCGTGTAAAAAGCCTTAGAGAAATCCAGTAAAATGTAATGGACAGTAACTTTGGCTTCCCAACCTGCCGTCCACTTATCACCTGCCACCAGAATGTTTGAGACTCAGAGCCTACCCTTTCTGAAACCAAGTTGAGCATTACTTAGTGCTCCCTCCTTTTTTAAGTACTTTCTAATATGGTCGTCTACCAGGCTCACCATTACTTCAGACTGCACTGGTAGTAGGGCTATGGGTCGATGGTATTTTGGACTCTGCCTGGGTTGGTAAGTTGTGATTTGCAGAGCGACTGGGGAGCTACGGGTTGCTGGGAAGTTCAGGGGACTGTCGTGACTCCAGTCTGTGTAGGCACCCGAATCAGAATAGTAAGGTGGTGGTAAAGAAAGAAGAGAATGAAGAGGGAGGGGGTAAAGAAGAGAAATAAAAGAAAGGGCAAAGTATGTAGAAGTCACCCAAAAGATAAAAGCGGATGGCGTAGGTGTGTTTCTTAAAAAAGAATTAGTAGGCCATGTGGGTGTATTAAGGAGCGAGATGGTGAGTGGTAGGTAGGAGGGAAGTGAGGGCGGGTTGGTGAGGTTGGTGACTCCCTAAGTACGCCTGTGGTAAACCATGCCAGGTGTTATAACCGTCTAACCCTCTCTTGAATGCATCGACTTAAGGGGCGATGACTGTATGTCGCGGTAGGGCATTCCATAAAGCTCATACCCTCAGGGGGAAAAAATTGGACCTGAGCATGGTATTGGCTCTTTGATGTGGCACCCTAATGGTGTCTCCTCGTGAACTTCGATGTGTCCCAGGCAAGGTTGATTTGTTTGCGTGGTTTGCCTGGTGGGCCATAATAAGGTCACCCCTCTTCCTACGATAACCCAGGGAGAATAGGTTTAGGTCCTCAAGTCTTTCCCCGTTGCCCCACAACTAATTTTGCTGCAGGTCCTTGCATTTTTTCAGGGAGATTGGAGTCCCTCATGAGTGTTGGTGGGGCAACCATACTGGAGACCTCCAGATGCGGCCGTGAGTAGGATTTGAAAAAGGTGCGGAAGAGTTCGGGGGTGAGGACGCCAAGCTGTCTACTCAGAACGTCCAAAATGGCGTTCGCTATGGTTGTCACATCCTTGTAGTTGAAGCTGGTGTTCAAGTTATCGGAGAAGTTGAGCCCCAAATCTTTCGCCATAGGCACTCTGGTGATGCCGCAGCCGCTCAAAATTTACTGGAAGTCGGTTGTACTTGCTTCATATTTACTGATGTGCATTACTTTGCACTTTTTCAGGTCATTTTCCGATGACCAGAGTTCGAGTTGCTGTAAGTCCTTTTGTAGTGCTGTACGGTCAGCTTCTCCGTCTACTACCCTCCAAACGTCGTCAGCGAAGAGGAGGACGGATGAGGATATTTTGTGTGGCAGATTATTGACAAATAGGAGGAAAGAAGTGGTCCAAGGATCGCTCCTTGGGATACTCATGACGTCGGGGCCTCCACTTCGATCTCATTCTGTTTACTTTGGTGCAGAACCGCCTCCTTTCCAGGTACTCCTCCAACCAAGAGGGTAGGAGCTTACTTATACCAGCTGACATGATCTTGTAGAGCAGGACTGTGAGTGAGACACTGACATGTGATCTGGACAGGTCGGGAAAAACAATAAGTACCGGATCTCTGCTATCCCAACTTAGTTTCCAGTCGTCCCAGGCGGTTAGTAAGTTGTTGACACATGAGTGACCACTCTGAAGTCCATGCTGAGCAGTATGCACAGTGTTTTCCCTATTGAGGAATTCGCAGATAGTGTCATCTGCCAGGCTTTCCAACACCTTCGACACTTTAGGGAGTAGAGCCATTGGCCTGTAGCTGCCAGGGTTTTTTCTGTCTCCTCCCTTGAAGATGGGTGACAAGATGGCGCTCTTCTATTCTTTAAGGAGTTTGCACGACTCTGTTGAGTGCTTGAAGAGGTTACAGACTGGTTTCGCAAGCTCTTTGGTACAGTCTTAGGACCACCAATCTTGGGTAATCGCAGTTGAGGGACCCGCCCGGATGCAGTTTAGATAGTTTCTCCGACACTTTTTTCTCTGTGATTGAGATGTGGCAGAGGTGTTTGTTGTTTATAGTCTGGTCAGTGTTGTAACGAGTTGGTGTGGACTTAGTGTCAGTACTAAGTTGGGCTTGGAAGTGTGAGCTCGGAAATCTCTAGACTGCCTAGTACACTCCCATTCACTCTCTCGCTGGTCGACTTCCTTCTCGACAGGAGGCAGTACAGGTTTTTTGGGGTTGCTTTGTAACCTACCCTCCAGGTTTGTTTGGTAGGGGTTTCTGTCGCCATACGCTCTAATGTTACAATGGTTGCGAATCCTTTTGTAGTTCAAAAGTCAGACTCCCTGCGTAATAAACGCCACTTGAACTAGGCCTGCTTCTTGTTGCGAATAAGCCTCTCTCTCCCAAGCTTTAGCCACGAGGCTGTCACTGATACTGTCACTGGTACATTGTGGCTGATGGCCCCAGTGATTATTTTCTTCGCTTGTATCCAGTGTTCATCTGCTGTGAGATGGGTCCGGCCTACCGTCCATGGTGCATTCATGAGATAGTCCCTCATTGTCTCGTGGTTGGCCTCGCTGTGGCAAGGAAAGGTGTTGGAGGTCTCTGGTTGCAGAGCTTCCCCGGTAATCATGGAAAGGGTTATTACTGCGTAGTCACTGAGGCCAAGAAGGGGCTGGATGCATACATCCTTGATGAGAAGGTCATCGTTTGTCAGAACGTAGTCAAGGTACGACGCGTTTCCGTTAGGTCCCAAGAGTTTGACATCACCCACTTTCCTTGAGAGGCCAGCAGTCTTAATTGCATTCTTCAGCTTCTGACCGGAGGATTTGATGTGTCGCCCTTCCGTCTTGAAGAGTATGGATGGGGTGTCGAAGTCGTCGGTAATGATTACGGAATCTTAGTTTGCAGAGGAGGTCGTTAAGATTGCCTTGATGACCACTTCTTTTTGTGTAGGGGGCCTTGTAAGGGACCGATATATGACTCCGAGCAGGTATTTGGTGCAGTGGAGGGTGAAGTAGCACCACAGAGATTCTGGGGGCTGGGTGTCGCTAGCCAACCTCGCCCTCAAACGACAGCTTACATAGAGAGCCACTTCCCCCCCTGCTCAGAGCTCTCCATCCCCGCGGAAGAGTTCCATGCCAGCGACATGCGTTTCTTCGTCGGAGATGTTCGGGGAGAGCCAGGATTCGGTGATAAATA